GCAAAGCAATTTGTAATATAGGTATAATCAATCAAAATCCGGAAATGTTTCACTATTCTTTCGTATTCCAAACCTGTCAAATATTCGTAATAATTGCTATATTAATTTTTATCAAATTGTAATACCTATACCCACTATACTTACTATACTACGCTATATAATATATTCTGCTGTTTTCGTATATATATATCGATTGATTCATGATTGCACCCATGTATAATGTGTAATTTACATAATTTGTAGGAATTGTTTGAATATAATAAACCTACCTATATTTATCATATACACTGTTTATACAAGTACATACACAAGATGCCTCGTCTGCAATAATGACACATAGGCACCTATACCCACCGAAGTAAAATACAAATTCGACAGTGCCCGTGTACCTATCTTTCATAATATAATAATTACGATACTTGGACTACAAACATGATTGAAATAAAAAATTTGGTGCATTTTATTAAAAAAAAAACAAAATGCGCTTGTCTCGAGTATTCGCGGATGTAGTGAAGCCGATAGGTTAGGTTAGGTTTTGTATAGGAATAAAATAAAAAAATAAAATGTTCAATTGAAATTAATTTATTGCCTATACAGAGATAAGACACAGAAAAATTGTGTTGAGTCAATCAGATGTTTTGTGTCAACAACTATGGGGTACGATTATGACGTTATCGACCTTATAAGTTATAAGTCATATTAATTTTGTTCTAATTAATACCAATGATACAAGTTACAACGATTGAAGGACACACTCAACCCAATATTTTTCTTTTGAAGAAATTCATTAAATTTTTTTCGGTGATGTGACTTGTAAGTTGTAACCAACGATCGGATTTAAATGTTTTTACATATCGTTACTGAGTGAATGCAGCCTCCAGAGAGTAAAACATGTGGAAAATTCATTCAATTCTTAGTTTGAATTAGAAAATGTTGTTTTTGCATATTTGAGAATATTTCGTAGGTTAGGGCTGCAATCATGTGCAACATATTTTCATTGGCTGGCCACTAACAAGCTAGCCAGTAAACAACCGTCTTCGAGCGGGCCACTAAATATAAAAGTACCTACGAATTATCTCGATGTTAATCTAATAATAACATTTTTTTACCTATAGTATACGTATACAATATATATGTAGCTATTTAGGAACATAATATTGAACATTTAGACTTGTTATGTTGCCTATCTTTTATGGCTACCTATTGAAGAGATTACAAACTAAGGTCAGTTAATAATTTTACTTTTTATAAAATATTTTTTTTTAAACGAGTTGGATATATAAATATTTAGCCTATTTAGAATAAAAAAAGAACACGCCTAGTGTTATAGCATGAGCACATAGCTATCATAAGTTGCGTGCCGTTCAGTATCATAGCGACTAACTTGCAATGCTGGCAGTATTGCTTTAAACGGATAAGATAAACTTATATATTTATCAAATATTCAAATGTCTAAATGTTTTGTTTCGAGCTTTTGCAAGTACATAAGTTATAGATATTCGATTGCGATCGCGTGATTTAAAATTTTTAAAATTAACAAAATAGAAAAACCAGTTGATTTTAAAAACTCAAGTGTATAGGTTATGTATATCTCAATAATTGATTTAAGGGATGATGTGAAACAATTGCTTTTGTAAGCATATAATATGATATTATATGTTGATGTTTGTTGATCATTGATTAGTTTTGCATAGATACTTCCAAATTTCTAAGAGAATATAAGTATCATATTTCAAGTGATATAAGAGAATATAAATCCGGTCTTTACTCTTGAATTGTAACGTAACAACGTACAACAAACTATAATGATTAGGTAGTCATTCTGCGTTCAGCAAACGCGCATACTCCACTCGTATAAGTTCCATTGTATCTCCCTATGTCTTGGCAACCTACAGAAAGAGATGGTAACTTCGGAACATTCGGTCATTATCGATACAATGCTTTCCATCGGTACAAAAATTATTGCCCGATGGTATCCGAAATAGGAAATGTCATTTTTTAACTTTATTTATCGTAACTAAAATTACAAGCATCACTTATGCCCCGTAACGATCTTTGCATTAGGTACACACATTTTTCACATACCCTCCGTAAATAAGTCTTACTTCAAAAAATGTGTATCTATATTTTTTGTAATTGTACAGTTGTACTGAGTACAAAGTATAACTGTACTAGGAAATACGATTTGAAAAATACAACGATACCTTCAATTATAATATAATAAAACATTCAATATAAAAAAAAGTATAAGTACCAATTCAATTTTCTATGAAATACCTCCCTCTTCATTAGGTATGTACCGTAATAATGTATGTATTCAATTTGAATTCAACGATAAATCATCGCAAACAAAAAAAAATCATAGAGATTGCTTTTAATATTATTAATACACTGCAAGTTCATTTAATTTTTGCAGAAAACATTGCAAGGTAATACATGGTAATACCTTGTTAATACCTAATTTATTGTGGCTCAGCAAGTTCCCACACGAAACATAGCAGGTAAGGGGGTACATATGTAAGTTCGCACACGAAAAAAATTACACCCCTACGTAAGTTCCCACGCGAAAATTTGTTCGCTTTTGTAAAAAAGTCTTTCGTAAAGTCAAATAAATTTATTGAAATGCAACTATCTATAAAACAACCTGTTCTATCTCTTATTACTTATCTTTATTACTTAGGTAACTAATATATATTGAATTATTTAAAAAAATTAATGCAGTTGGAATAAATCCAAATAAATTTGTCTTAGACTTCGAAATTTCATTGCACTAAGCAGTAAATATTATATTTCCGACAGCTCAAATATGTGGAGGCCGTTTCCCCATTTGGGCCAAGCTTGTTACCGTAAAATTCAAAGCTTAGAGCTTGCACAAGAATTTAATTTTACAAATAATGAATTAGGAAAGTGGCTGGTACATATATTTGATTAACCATTTTTTAATCCAATAGAAGTTGGAGATTGTTTTATAGATAGTTTCGTGGCTGAAAAACCAGTAAATAATAAAATAAATGATTTTTGCGATTATTTAGTGACGAATTACATTGGAGATACTGCAGTACGTCCCCCCCTAGTATTTGGACTAGTGCTAGTTCTGATACAAGCCTTACTACAAACGCTTGAGAAGTTTCCATTCCGAATTCAACTCAAATTTTTATCATCATCCGAATATATTCAAAATAATAGAAGTTTTGAAAATGTTTCAAACAAATACATGTATAAAGATAAGAACATCAGATTTCATTACATATTTGGACTAGATTCAATTAAAAAATTGATTGGATTTTTTTATGCAACACAAAAACAAACAAATTTTAACCACACCAACTTCGTTTAAGTTGTCAGTCCTAAGTCTGAATAAGGTGGGAAGGAAGTTTGTATTCGACATAATTTTTTTCGTGTGGGAACTTACGTATGCATACCCTTGTGCGATTTTTACCTGCTATATCTCGTGTGGGAACTTACATTCACCCAATTTATTCGAGGTATTTAATAAGTAATAACTACAGTGGTCGCCGCTTATAGTGTTCACTGGTTATAAGAATCAGCCACTTATAGTGATAAAAAATGCCAGGAACGGAACAAACAACAGTTATACGTGCATTTTTCGTCGCTTGCAATGTTCAGGTTTTCGGTTGAAACATGTCTGAAACCTTTTTTGTTCTCACAAGCACCGATATTTTTACACTTTATACGCAGTTTGTTTTCGTCCGTCGTTCAGTGTACTGTCTGTATAGTGTGTAAAGTGTGTACTGTATTATGCCTAGTTGGAGCGCGCATTCAACTAGTGAAAAAAATGTATTCTAGCTTCTATTAGCCGAATACGATTAACTTCCCGAGAAGACAAATCAGAAGTTAGCTGCACAAAAATTGGGCATTCCGCAATCAACATTGAACAAGTTATTGAAATTCCGTAACGAAATAAGTGAGTGCTCCGAATCACAAAGTAGAAAACATAAACGTGAGAGCAAAAGTAGGGCAACCGATGAAGCTCTTTTCGTGTGGCTTATGCAAGCTAGTGCTATGAATGCTCCTATAAATCGTAGCATATTAATGGCGAAAGCCAATGATTTGGCAAACAAAATGGGAGAAATGAATTTTACAGAAAGAGATGGTTAGTTGACTATAGGTGGGAAGAGCGCCACGATATTGTTTACAAAAAACTTCATGGAGCAAAACAAGACGGATATGCAAGTAGTGCTGATTCTTGGATTAAAACAACATGGCCTACTGTTCTAAATAAATAGACTCCGGAAAATATCTTTAACTTAGATGAAACAGGTCTGTACTATAGAATTATTGTTGTATTGTAGTAATAAACTGATATTCGTATCATTATTATTATGTTTATTATAATACTAACTTTAAAGTTATGACTGAGGAGTGAGGTGTGCGTGTGGTATTGTCACTCGCTCTTTCAGACACAGTATCTAAGTTGTTTTTTAATCGTATTTAATAAACTGATGCTTTTGTCTAATAAATGTAAAACAGTACAAAAACATACGTATTATAATAATTTTTATCCACTTCCATCCTCCACATCAATAAATAATAAAATATGGCACAGTCGTAAGGATAAAGGATAACATTTGTCTTAGTAAGTGCATTAATAATATTAAAGCATGGAGTTCAGACCACCAAAAGAAATGTCGTTTGTCGATAACATTTCTGAACAATGGAAGGAATAGTATCAACAGCTCAGCATTTTCTTAATAGCATCGGGAAAAGCTGATGAAACTGATGAGAGGAAAATTAATATCCTATTAAATCTGATTGGCATACATGGTATTAAAATATATAATAATTTTAAGAAACCTAAAAAGGCTACTGATTTTACATACGATAATGTTGTCAAGTGGTTCAGTGATTATTGTGAACCTAGAAAAATGTAATTTTTCAAAGATACAAATTCGGGAGTTGTGTTCAAAAAGAAGGGCAAACTTTTGATGAATTTGTGACAGAACTGAAGACATTATCATCATTATGTGAATATAAAGAAGATGATGATATGGTACGTGACCGGATTGTATTTGGTATCAGAGATGCAGAAAACCAAAAACAAGTTGCTGAGCATGGACAACCTAACACTTGAAAAAGCAGAAACGTTATGTAGAACCAGAGAAGTAACGGACAAGGAAATACAAGAAATGACAACGGATTTGGCAAATATTCATTATGTGAGCAGAGAACAGAAGACATGGTCAAAAAATAAAGGTGGTAAGTTTGTGAATAATAGTAATAAGAATTTTGTTAAAAAGAAAATTAATAATAATAAGTATAATAGAGATGATAAATCATATAAGACAACAGAATGTTATGATTGTAAAAAGTGTGGTACAAATCATAAACCAAGAAGTTGTCCAGCTTTTGGTAAATAATGCAGAGTATGTAATAAATTAAATCATTAAGAGATAGGATGTAAAAATAAAAGTAAACAGGTGTATAAGACATCTGTAACGCAGAGATAGTTAATAATGATGAAAGTGCGTTTGATGAGTTTTCTGTGAATGAAATAACTGAACAGGTATGCAATATAGAGGCTAATCAAAAAAGTTGGATTGAAGAGGTTAAGATTGGAAAAATGTGGTTAAAATTTAAGCTTGATACAGGAAGTGATATAAATATAATACCATATGATGATTTCATTAAGTTAGAACCACAACCAAAATTAACTAACTCTAAGTATAACATTGAGGCTTACGGTGGGTTCAAAATTAATTCTATAGGCTCGTTTGTCATTAATTGCTTATTTAAAAAATTTAATCGGAACTGCTCAGTGGAATTTTTAGTAGTTTAAACTGTAAACAATAAAACAATATGTCCAATTTTAGGTCCAACAACTTGTGACAAAATTAATTAAATTAAAAGAATAAATAAATTAGAGGTTGACACTAAAAATAATTGGATTATGAAGAATATGGATGTGTTCACAGGGTTGGGTCAATTTCCTGAATTATATAACTTAGAATTAGTAGATAATTTTCAACCTAAAATTGTTCCTTATCGTAGAGTACCAATAGCAGTCAAAGACAGATATGACTTAAAATTAAAGTCATTAATTGATCAAGGAGTGGTGGATTATGTAAATAGACCAACGGACTGGACAAATCATGTAGTAGTCATTGAAAAGCCCAATAAAACCTTAAGAATTTGTTTAGATCCACAACACTTAAATAAGAATATAAAGGATAAACAATTTCCAATACCAATCTTAAATGAAATTGTTCCCAAGCTTAAAAATAAAAAGTTTTTTACGGTTCTTGACTTTTAAGATGGATTCTGGCAAATTGGATTAACTGAGTCAAGCAGTAATCTATGTTCTTTTGCAAGTCCTTTAGGAACTTTAAAATTATCATTTGGGTTAAAAATAGCACCATCTGTTTTTCAAAGATATAATACTAAATGCTTTGGTGATATTAAAGGTTTTATAATATATTTTGATGATTTTATAATCGCAGCTGATACGAAACATGAACATGACAAGATTGTAGATGAATTACTTAATCGAGCTAGGAAATATAATGTTAAGTTTAATGAAGAAAAAATTCAGTACTGCAAAGATAAAGTAACATTTTTAGGTCATTTATTTGACCAAAAAGGTATGTCGTTAAATCCATCTCGTATTGAGGCCATTAAAAATTTAAAACCTCCCAATATAATAAAGAGTAATAGTTAGTTAAAGAGTAATAGCAATAGTTGCGCTCCCATCGCCCGGTGTAGGAAATGACACCGCAATAGCCCCTTGTTAGATACAGTAGGTACCTAATAAGGCGAAAGGGGAAACCTTTCAAAACTTGGGCCCTCCATTAATGGGGGTTGACGTAGGGCTAACCACCCAACTCATAAAAACAACCTGGTTCCGAAACAAAACACAGCAAAGCCTCGGATGAAAAATAAATTGCAAAAGTTTAGTCTAGGAACATGGAATTTACGTACGATGTACGCAGCAGGAGCAATGACGACAGCAGACTTGGGTAGTAGGTATTCCGAATACAGTATTCGGAATACTGTATTCGGAATACTTTTTAAGTATTCCGAATACTTTTTAAATACTTTTTTTTGAAAGTATTCTACATGGTATTTTGAATACTTTTTACAAGTATTCTGAGTACAGTATTCGGAATACTTTTATTCGAATTAAATTTTAAAAATAATTTCATTAATTTTCCGTCATAGAAATTGGTTTTTTGCTTGTATAGGTATCTATATTTCTATACAAAATAATTTATAGTAATATGTATATTATTTTATTTTCTACTATTATTAGTTGGCCAGTAATGTTATTACGTATTTTCCAATTTCATAGCAACGAGCAAGCGAAGGCGATAAGATATTATGATTTCGGGATTTCCCTATAATAAGTAATAACTAATGGCTAATAATATAATATGCCATATGCGATAGTGCGATACTAAAATTATTGCTTGTGTGTGTGTGTGTGTGTGTTGTGTGCAACTTTCCGCGCAGTCCGCCACTAGTCGACATTGTTTTTCTGTTGCGACGCTGATTTTATTCTTTATACGTCTTTTCCGTTGTTCTTAAGTAATAAGTTTGATTCGAAAAACATTATAATGGCAGATTTTAACGAAATTGACGAAGGTTATCGCCTACCTTGGTCAAAATATGACAACATTTTTAAAATAATTGATCTAAAAGAAGATTTTGAAACTTATCAAAAATTCAATGTTCGTTGTAAATATTGTGCTTCGTCCAAACTACTGACAGCAGACACAAGGACTAGTTCCAATTTATTAAAGCACTTAGAGGTAAGTACCTACTAGCTACATGCATTATTTAATTGTGTTAAAAAATATATTTATAGGTATACATAATAATTATGGTACTTAAACTATGATTGAGGGATACTTTTTAGTTTTTACGATTGGTACCTACATAAATAAAAAACCTAAGTATCGTTTTTCGATATTTTGACATTTTTTTACCAGACGCAAAAGCCTATTATACATTTCAATATAAAGCTCCATATAGGTACCTAATTTTAATATAATAGAGTTAAATTATGTAGGTACCTATATTATATGCTATAAATTTAGATGGTACAGAATTGCCTTGGTCATTGATTTGCTTTGTATGGTAGCTTATTTAGTAATATATTTTTGTTTAAATTAATTGGAAGAATTACTTGAATTACTAATACAGTAATACTTAAACTTAATCTTATATTTTAAATATAATAGGTACTACCTAGTAGCCACTAGGTAGGTATATAGCCTATATATAGGTGTATAAGTTTTTTATGGGTTGTGATTGATTAAATTGTCTGATAAAGATTAAAAAAAAACTCATTTGAATATGACACTCTAAATATTGACAATGACATTTATAATAGTTTTTCTTATTTATTCCTTAAAATAGGATTTATTGCTTGTTTCACTCAATATCAATTATCAATCATATTATTATTTTTAGATGAGTTAAATTTGATGATTCAAAATATGATTATCAATGCTTCATTACCATTTAATTTGGTAGAACAGATGGATTTTAAAAATTTAATTACAACTGGATATCCTAATCGTCATGTTTTATCAAGAAAGACGTTGATGAAAAATATAGAAGCTCAACATCAAGTCCTTTTACAAAATATGAAAAGCACATTTTCCAAAGTTAATTATTTAACTACCACTGCCGATTGTTGGACTGTTTTCAAAAGGTTTGTTATTTTAAACAAATTATTAACTAATTCATAGCATCTATAATTTAAATATGATTTTCAGATCCTATTTGGGTATGACTTGTCATTGGATTAATCCAGTATCACTAGAAAGAGAGTCTTGCTTGTTGGCTATAAGGAGATTAAAGGGCAGTCATACTTATGATTTGCTAGCAAGGACTATGGAATCTATTTGTACTGAATTTAATATCAATGATAAAGTTATCTATACAACAACTGACAATGGTTCTAATTTTGTCAAATGCTTTGAGTAATTATAATATTTATTATTATTTATTTGTATTTTAGAAATTTTTACTAGGCATTGAATAGGTAGATATTTTCAACTGAAGGGTTAACATTTTTTTTTATAAATATATATATATATTATTCAGTAGGAAAGTGGCTTATATTATAATATGTTATACTAATAGAATTTCTATCCAAGTCCACAATGTTCATATCTATAAAAATGTCATAATTATAAAATCAAAATTTAACCCTACAATGCATGATTTTTTAAATTATTATAGGTACCTATAATAAATTATGTAATACATTTTATTCAATAATATAACATTTGAAAAAAAAATAAATTCAAAATTTAAATCTGACTTTCGTCTGATAATTCAATAATTGTACTACTCATAATTCATAAAGAATATTAATATAAACTCTTAGTATGCATTTTTTTTAAATATTTACCATTTGACTATAGTTGTAACTAACTCAACTAACTAATTTATATTTTATCGATTATTTTGTTCCCTTAGAATGTTTGGTCAACCTTCAGGTGTTGAAACTGTTGATGGAAGTAAGAAAACGGAAGAAGAAATTCTTCAAACTCTAGAAGATTCAATTGAAGAAGAATACGATGAAAACAAAGAAGACACCGACGATGATGCTGATAGTGAAAAAGATGATGTTAGTTTTTCTCGTATATCTATTACCCAAGTTCTGGATAATAGAGAACTAATTGGTGAATGTACATCCAATTGGGATGATTGTATGGTGTATAACCTACCTAAGCATCACAGATGTGCTTCGCATACTCTAAATCTAATAGCAACAGCGGTAAGATACATTTAAATTTATTTATTTTATCTTAAATTTTTCTATAATAACATTTACAATTTTAGGATATTGAAAAGGCTTTATCGCCTAATGTTTCCAAACGACCATCTATGTTAAACTACAGAAAACAAAGTAGATTCACATTTTCAAAATGCCAAGCATTATGGAATAAGCAGAACCGTTCATCACAAATGGCTGATATAATTAAAATGAATTTGGGCGTTTATTTAAAAACTCCTAATCAAACACGTTGGAACTGTTGGTTTGATTCGTCAAAATTTCTTCTTTTTCATTTTAAAAACAGTCCTTCCAAGTTCACTAAATTGTGTGATGCTTTAAAATTAAATCGGTTTTCTAAAAATGATCTAGAATTTTTAGAAGAGTATGTTGTAGTTATGGAACCATTGTGCATTTGCCTTGATGTGTTGCAAGGTGAAAAAAATATGTATTTTGGGTTTTTGTTGCCTTCCATTACAATACTCTTACAAAAATATGACGATATCTCTAAAAAAAATTTAATATATTGTGATTCTTTAGTTAGTTTGATAAAAGCGAACGTGGAAAAACGTTTCGAAAATTTTTTGACTGATCCGTTTTTATTATCTGCAACGGTTTCACATCCGTTTTTTAAAACTATCTGGCAAACTGACAATGATAAAAAAGATAAGGCATTATCATTTTTTAAAAAATCTTGTTTGGAAATGTTTGAACAGTCAAATTTGCCTGAATCTGAAGTATCTGATAGCAATATGAGTGATGATGCAAATAATTTCTTTAATTGGTCTGAAAATAAATCAAAAGTGGATCTTTCATTAGAGCAAGAAATAACCAGGTGTTTGTCAAAAAGTCCTACAAAAAATCTAAATATATTGAATGAAATGCCTACAGTTAAAAAAGTATTTTTAAAATTTAACACACCACTTCCTAGCAGTGCTGCCGTAGAACGCATATTTAGTATTGGTGGTACTGTTTTATAGAAAAAAAGAGGTAGGATGAACGATAATAATTTTGAATATGTATTAATGTTAAAGTATAATTAATCATTAAAATATAATATACTGTATTAACTCTTAAATATTATAAAATATATTTATCTAATATTATAATGTTGTCAACGTTGTAATTTTTTTTATTATTATTATTATTACTTAAACCACGACAACTTGGCTATTGGTTTAGTATTAGTTGACTATTTTATTATTTTTTATAATGATATTAACTATAATATTATAATAATTACTAATTACCTAATTGTTTGTTTGTTTTTTTTTTATTGCGTTTTATCAAAGCAATTCTTTTTATTATTACTATTTACTATTATTATTTAATAAGCATAAATTTGACCATTGGCTTAAAATAGTTGAACAAAGTAGCTGTAATGTTGTGTAATTCATAGACAATAGTTATGTTAGTATAATACTATAATGTTTATTTTTTTTTTCAGTTAATAAAATAATAAATATGTTGATGAAATAAATGGCTTAAAAGTTAAAAGTATTATATTGATTGATATTATTGTATTATAATTATTTAGGTACAATAGTTGGTGATATGAGATCTTATATAGGTATAATCAGATAGGTGTGTATTATCGAGATTATAATAATGTTCATTTATAAATACAGAATTGAAAAAATAATATTTTTGCTATTGAAATCTAAATCCACTGAAAAAAAGTATTCGAAAAATATTTGGAATACTTTTTGTGAAGTATTCCAAATACTTAGGAATATTATTATCATAAAGTATTCGAATACATATTCTGAATATGTATTTGAAATACTTTTAAAAAGTATTTTACCCAAGTCTGGACGACAGTAATATCCGCATTACAGAGATATCTGTGCGGAATAGTAGCCATACAAGAGATCAGATGGACGAATGTAGGGAATATCAAACTTCGTGATGCGACCATACTCTATAGTTGTGGCCAAAGCCATGAAGCGTATTTTGCAAATGTGGGTACACTCAGAACCGGGTTGCTCTGATTGGCCCATCTGAATTCCCGCTTTTTTCTTATCACTTATATATAATGTGTTCTAATATATAATTTAAATATAATTTTTTTTATTATGTACAAAAAAGTATTCATCATACAAATAATATAATTTATTATATTATTATATTCTTTACATACATTTTCATTGTTTACTAATTATTATGGTAAATACATATTTTTATTTTTTATTTGTATTGGCTACAGCTGACTATTCGTATTTATATTGCATTAATAATATATTTATAAATTATTAAATAGGAGGTTTTTTTAAAATCACTAATTAAGTACTTCGAAGACTTAAGTTGCGA